TTTTGCAGCATGCCAGACATCGTGTCATGGGAGTAACGTGCTGCCAGTGGCACAAAAGCGTAAACATATAGGCGATATTCTTTCTTAATATGACCAGGAAGCTAAGTCACAGCAAGAATACAACATCCGTGTGACATCCATTATACCGATCGCAATACGCGATACAAGAGCCTCAAAATTGTAAGACTGAGGACACGGCATTGGTCACCGATAGACCCCATGCATAAGATGACTCATAACGTCAGCACCAACGGTAGTATCAAAATATTTGTGGTATGCTTGCGAAGCTACTATTGTATTGTGCCGTGTCTTGCACCATTCAAGCTAAACGTACAATATATGAACCCCTAAGCCTACACATAAAGCAATAAATGTATCTATGAGTTCGACTACATGTCTTATTGTGCGCGATTGCGGATATAGTCTTGTCATACGTCCGGTACTCCGATATGATGTCGCGCAATGCTGTATACCAATCAAGTTGTAAAATACAGCATATGAGCCTATGAACCTACAGATAGAACACTAAAAACTTGGTGAAAGGAACACAAGAAAAGGGTACCTATGACTATGCTTTATATATTATATTGTTTGCGATTTGGGATATCATATTATTTTGCGTTCTATACCTGGGTTTGATACTGTGCTATGACTTACAACACTCAAATTATGAAATACAACATGTAAGCCTATAAACCAACAGATATAACACTCAACACTTGATGAAAGCAACACAACACACGGCTTCTATGACTATCTTTTGTATAATGTATTGTATATTTTTTCGCGTATGATATCGAGCATGTTTTTCAGCATGGAAACTAGAATATACAACATTTGAACCAATAGCCCTACAAATACAACATTAAAAACTTGGTGGGAACACCACAAACGATATCTGTGACTATATTCATATATTACATTGTTTACTGTTTCGAGTATGATATTGTCGTACACTTTATACCGCTCATATCACAACATACAACACAAAGAGTCGTTCGATAGCACCAAATTTTCAGAATAAGGTATTCGGACAATTTGGTGCTAACGAACCGCTTTGCTTTCCCGCAGTGTGGAGATTCGGGTGATAAGAAGTTGATAAAAAGGTGATGAAGGTAACAAGAAGGTGATAAGAACGATCCCAGCCATGTAAGCAATTGAAACAACTGAAATATATGATACTGGAGTTCAAAATCGCAAGGGGTGTCCCCCTAAGTTTGTTTTTACGAAGATGTGATCCCAAAATTCAAAATCGCAAGGGGTGTCCCTAAGTTTTTCATCAACATATGATCCCAAAATTCAAAATCGCAAGGGGTGTCCCCCAAAATTGGAAATTGCAAGGGGTGTCCCCCTATGTTGTTTACAAGAAGTGGACCCCAAACTTCAAACTCGCAAGGGGTGTCCCCCAAAGCTTCCATAAGCACAAGATTCCAGAATTCCAAATCGCAAGGGGTGTCCCCCTGAGTTTTTTTACGAAGATGTGCAAAATCGCAAGGGGTGTCCCCCTAAGTTTTTCTATAAACATATGACCATTAAATTTGGAAATCGAAAGGGGTGTCCCCCTATGTTTTTTGATCAACAGATGATCCCAAAATTGGAAATCGCAAGGGGTGTCCCTCTAAGTTGTTTACAAGAAGTGGATCCCAAAATCAACATATGATCCCAACACTCAAAATCGCAAGGGGTGTCCCCGTAAGTTTTTTGATCAACAGATGATCCCAAAATTGGAAATCGCAAGGGGTGTCCCCCTAGTTGTTTACAAGAAGTGGATCCCAAAATTCAATATCGCAAGGGGTGTCCCCCTAAGTTTTTCATCGTCCCCAGCTCTTGAATCGGCGGTAGCTTGACTACTTCGAGGATCATGGGACTTAGTACGTAAGGTTATATGTACCGGTGGCCAACAAATTGCGCCCTGGGCAAACAAACCAAGCTTGTCATCAGAGCGCAGATGATGCTAACCGATATTCGCAGTCAGGTCACAGGTCCGCTGAAGTTCACCGAGTAGGTCGCCGAGATTGGCCTAGCTATCGCTGGACGTGGGATTGTCAATCAAGCACTGTGACTACGAAGACTGGTAGCGAGTTCACGTGCAAAGCTTGTGTTTAGCATTCTCGCAGCTGCATCATGAATAATGCGCGGCCTGCCTTCGGCAACAAGTCGCACGTGCCAGACATACTTCGAGAATTGATTGCTCGAGCCAGACTGCTCTGCGCCGCACAAAACCCTCTTCCGAGACAGAGGTTTCCATCGGCACCAAGCGACGGCCCCCGAACCTGTCTCCAAACATTGGTCTTCGAGTGCAATGCAGCGTCAGAGAGAGACGTTCGGCATCGTTCGGCATTGGCTTGACTTGACGACCGAGTTCCAGAGATCGAGTGTTTTGCCTTTCGCATCAGGTGCGATTGTGCAGTGGCCACAGCTGATGTGCACGCCTTGGGCGTTCAACTCACAGTGTCCATCGTGCTGCGGCGCCCTTCGGGTCAGCCACAAGGTGCCTACAGCACGGCGCTTCTGCCGACAGCTTCCTTTTGAGGGCTCTTCCACGCCACTACTTCCGCCAAGCTCAGGGGGCAAAGCGCGGCGATGCGGTCTTGCCTTCTTCTCAGCGGAACCTTGGAGGTGCTTTTTGTTCCTTGGCTCCTGTCTTGGCTCGAGACCCGGGCAGGCCTGTCACTTGGATCGCTTGGCGCTCGCCGGCTCGAGAAGGCCAGGGGCCTCCAAGCGATTCCGACGTGCCGGTGCGCTTTGATCGCATCGGTGCGCCTTGGCGGCCGTGGCGGCTGCGGCCTTGGCCGCGGAGGGAGCCGCGGCCGCTCCTGAGCCAAGAAGGCGCCGTCCAGACGGAACGGAGCTGAGCCATTCCGGAGCCGAGCCGTGGAGCCATGCTAAGCCCCGTGGCCGATTGCCAGCCATCCGTGGCTGCCATGGGCAACCTGGATGAGTGCATCTCGGGCACGTCTTCCGGGCCTCGCTGCTCCACCTCTCGTCGCTGTCGCTGTGCCTCTTTCTGGCCTGGAGACAAGTCCATGGGTTGGGTGCTCCTGTCTTTGACGTTACAAGCAGACAATCCCCGCTGCTGAAACTCTCTCGACTTCACCTGCACAGACAACATCGTGGAGGCCATCCGTGAGGCAACAGCTCCAGAGCTTTCAGATTCCTGATTCAACGGCGAGATACATCAGGGTGAAGCACAAAGACTTTCTCAGCACCGCTCCGTCCAGGTGACATCGGCGAGACTTCGCAACTCCTATGCCACAGTGGAGCCGAGATGTACTCACACCGTCTCACCCCATCCTGGAACGTGCTTCCCATGGCACTGGCTCTCGTCGACTCGGTACCTGCTTTGTCGGCAGGGTCTTGACGGGTTCTTTTTGGCAGCTGTCAGGCCTGATGAGAAGGTCGCAGTCGCAAGCTTGCCGTTTGTCGCCATCAGCTCGACTGCCTGGAAAACGTAGCGACACAGCTGCACTGCTCCACTTTTCAGCCCTCCACCGCCTCCATCTTTCCAACCCGGACGGTGGTGGCGGCTCTTAGCACAAATTGCAGGTTCGAATTGGCCGAATCCAGAATCGCAACGCGGCCTGGTTGGCGACGCGATCGCATGAAGGCCTCTCTCTCTGATCAACTGTATGTCACTCCTTTAATCTATGTCTTTCTAGGACTCTGCCTGTTCCTTGGCCTTCGAGGCGTTTCTGCTCGAGAATGGCTGCTCGCTTGCTCTCGAGCTCCTCGTTTCGGGCCGTGCGCGCGCCCGGCACGTGCTCTCGCGTTCCGTGCCGGGATCACTCTGGCCGCCTGGCCTCGCCCCGCCGGTCGCGGAGCTTCCGGAGATCAGCTTGGAGCTGCTGCTCCCGCAGATCCACCTCCCTGGCAGAAGCAGAAGCCAACTTGTCAAGTGCGGCCGCAGGCGCCTGCGCCGGTACTCCAACAGGTGACCATGCTTCGCCGCCAACACTCGGGTCCTCAGAAAAACTGTCGAGTCGGCATAGGCTCCGCAAACCGCGCTCCGCCCGGTGCCTCGTGGCCCAGACTCTTTTGCAGTCATCCAAGCGCATCTTCGTCTGCTCCTCGAGCGCTTCGAGCGTGCCGCTGCCGCTAGCCGCCGCTAGCTGCCGCGGAGACCGGTGCCTCCTTGTCGGCTTTCACGGCTCGGACATCTGCCGTCTTCTGCATCCTTCCGAGAAAGTGTTGAGCATCGTCGTGTGCGGCCCTTCGAGTCAGAAGTTTTCCCATGTTTTCCCTTGTAGTCTGCGCGAGCGGGCTGAAGCGATTGCAACCTTCACCGCGACGGCACCCAACCCCTAAAAAGAGCAATATGCACAGTATTAGCTGCAAGAGTTTGTGTCTGCGGCGGGGTCTCCTCTGCAGAAAGCACCTGGAAGCTAAGGCAGCTAAGGGAAGGGGCCGCTGGGATCGCTGGGACGGTGCAGAGGCGGCCTTCTCGTGGAGAAGGTCGCAGCCATTGCCTGCAGCTCCTTGCTGCGAGCCTTCGAGGCCTGAGCGCGAGTCGACTTCAGGGGACAGTCCGCCCAAACGGGGCGCTGCCCCGCGCGGCCCCACGGCCTTGTGCTGGCAGCCGGGGTCCGGCCAGGGCTCGCTGCCAGGCGGGCCGGAAGGCACCGCCTCTCCACCAACCCCCCCTTTGCAAAAGCAATTCCAAGAGCAATGTCGACGTCGCTGACTACCTCTGCTGCTTGGAGATCTTCCGAAAGACTCGGTTCCGGTTCCGACCTGGCCGGAGGCAGGCAGGCAGGCAGGCAAGGTCGTGGGAGACGATACAGCAAAAAGACATCTTCAGCGGTCAACCTCGCAGAGGCAAGTTCGCTTGGCTCAGGCGGAACAGGAACGAATGGGCGCCTGCATTGCTGTTGTGGGGAGACTGGGGAGATGTGCACGCACGCTGAACTCGACACTGGAAGTGGACGTGCCTGTCTCCTTGCGCTTGCGACCTGCACTTCAAAGTTCGAAGGGCAACGTAACGGTCCCAGACTTTCCCGGTCCGAGCCCGGGTCCCGGGCCTCCGAGCTGCAGCAAGACACTGCGCCTAAGAGTGCACAAGGGTGCTGCCGCGGAAACCCCCACAGGATTCCACTCTTTGCCTCCTCTGCCACGCGAGCTGCATTGGCACGGCCGTAGAAATCCATGAGGCGTGCCTTCGACTCGATCTCTGAGCTGCAGTTTCACTCCAGGAGCTCAAGGCCTCCCACTCGCGTTGCTCTTTGTCCCCTGACAAAGATTCCCGTCCCTCCGACTCGCCGAATCTCGAAGAAAGTCCTCGATCAGAGCCAAGGCTTCTGGTGGTCGGCTCCTGCTCTGACAGGAGCACTCACGATGCTCTCTCTGTTCGCTGGTCCCTGCGTTTGCGCCTCCCTTGCAGCTAGCAGCCTTCGGATCGCGAGCTTCTCCGTGGCCGCATGCTGCAGCGCAGAAGAAACAACACGGAGAAAAGCCCCGCGGCGCGGCGTTTCGGTGCCTTGGCAAGCTGCTTCTTGTCCACGGCTCGGCCCGAGAAGTTCAGCCGGTTGCCCAGGATCCAGGCCTCGCAAAGAAGCATTGCATCTTCTGAGAAACGGAAAGGAAGCACAAACCAAAGCTCTCCGCTCTGCTCTCCTCCGCACCTCTACGAGTTGAGAATCCACGCCGCCTGGCTGCCAGGCCGAGTTCAGCTGGTCTTAGCAGAGTCGAGGGCTTTTGAGGGGCTGAGAGGGCGGAAGTCGGCGCACTCGGCAACTTTCCGGATTGGAGGGCATCAAGCAGCCTCGTTAACGCAAAAGGTGCCCGTGTCCCTTGGCGTGCAGCCAAATGCGGCCAAGACCGGCACTCTTGCTGTGGCACAATAGACAGCTGCTGCATGATTTCCTGGCGTTCTGTTTATGGTCTGTTCCTTCTGTGCCGCACTCGAAACGGTAAGCCTCAACGTCGGCATTTCGCTTCTTCTTGTTGTGCCGCTCCAGCCTGAGACAGGCTGGGATCTGTGGGATCTGTCCGCGAGATCCCGCGAGCCGCCGGGGGCCTCTGGAGTTCTCTCTCCGCGTGGAGCTGCGCGAGGCCCGCCCTGCGCTGATCTTCCTGCGACGAGAGAGAGAGACGCAGAGGGGCCAGGCGGCCAGGCAGGGGCCGGCGACGGCGACGGCTTCTCTTCCCTCGGGCTGGCGACCTCCGCAGATTGCCATTCTGCACGAAACTCCGCCACCTTTCGCTGCTTCAGGCCGTTCACGGCCACGGCCTGCGACGCGACGCTGGAACGCGACAAGCGGTTCTGCTCGCAAAAATCTCTCAGGGCCCCGTGACGGCCCCTGCGGCCTCGGAAGGCTTCACATCGTTCTGGGCCCTCAAGAGGAAGATCCCAGCCTCGCAAGTCGCAATGCGCAAATGCGAAGCGCATCTGACAGATCCGCGGGAATACGCGGGAATGCTGCAAGAGGCGCTGGCCTTGCTGGCGCGAGGCCAGTCCTGAGCCGAGGCCAAGCCGAGGCCAAGCCGAGGAGCGGAGGGGCACCGGGGCACCACCTTGCAGCCTTGCGGCCTTGTGGAGGGGTTTCTAGTGCAGTCATTTCGTGAGTCCCCCAAGCTCCACAGAGCTAGCTTTCGTGGAGTTGTTGTGGCGAATCTTTTGCCGACCCGAAGCTTCGGCATTTTGACCCGGGCCCGGGTAGCCGCAAGGCAAGTATTTCAGGAGGGCTTCCGCTCGCCACACTAGAACGTCAGCACTTTCTAGACTCGCATACGAGTTCGCTAGCACGGAAGCAGTACCTGCTCGGGCCCCAGCCAACCCGTAGAGGTCCTTTCAGCTGTGAACACCCGCCCCGGAGTGCGAGCAGAACTTCGCTCACCGGTCCCAAAGCTGCAGGACGCCGTAGGTCGTATCGGCATCGTAGAGCTGGTGCCTGCAAAATCTCAACAGGAAGCGGGGCTCTCGATGGGGGGAGGACAGTAGGAGTTGCACCTGACAAGCAAGGGCACTGCCATGTGCGTCTCGAAGTTGAACGTGCAGAAGTAAAGGATTAGCGCTCTCTGTCGTGCCTCAACGCGAGCACCCCACGCCGCAGGACGGTCCTACGGTCCTACCTACAGTCCTCGCCTGAAGCACTGTCGGGAACCTGAGCTCTAGGAAGCGCAGCGCACCAGCGCCTCGGAGACGCGACAGGGCAAATCCGGATCCGGACCCGAGCCTCGCGTCCGAGCTCCGGTGCTGGCAGCCAAGGCCTCTTTCCGGATGCCCAGCTCCGCCAGCTCCTCTCGCAAGACCGCGGTTGCTATATATATATATATATATATATATATCTGTCTCTCTCTCTCTCTCTCTGCTTCTGCTCCCGCTTAGACAAGGCCGAAAGGCTCCTTCTCCATAGCACCGGCAGCACAAGTGCGGGCGAAAGTCTCCAAAAAGGGCGACGGCACCTCGATGGTTCGCTCCTGCAATCGGCAATGCACGGTCGAGTGACTGCGTGCCCCTTTATACAGGTGTCTCCTCTGAGATGCCCTCCAGCAGCAACCCCTGGCGCACGTCTGCTATCTGTGGTTTTTGTCATAGTGTCTATCGTACATCGTGCAACACCGCGATTGCAAGGGCAGGCGACATGCGCGCCTGCAAGCCTCGCACGGGCCGCAGGGTCGACGTGCCGTCGCCCTTTGACTCCTGCAGCTGCGCCTCGGCCCAAGGGGTCCCCGTAAGAACCTGCTCTCACCGCTGTCGGTGCCTCTTCCTCCTCCGGCCTCCGAAAGGAACCACTTGGGCAAGCTCCGAGTTCGAGAGCACCTCTAGCTCTGCTCTGCTGGTTGAAACACCGCAAAAAACAACGATGAAGAAATCGCCAGAGCTGGGACAGCTGGGATCACGGCGCATGGACTGCACCGGCTCCGTCGTCCCCTGACTCGACACAGTCTGCCATTGCTGAAGTGCAGCATTCCGGCCGAGGGCACCCGGTGCGCGCGGCGAAGCAAGCAGCACCGGTGCCTCCGGTGGAGTGGCAGGCCAACGAAAGGTGCCATGGTGCGAACCAGTAGTATAGCACTACCAACCACCATACCCCATCATTCCATCTAACTGTGTATGCCATTCCTTCGCATGCTTGGCAACGAAAATCATGACGGGTGCGTGGGTGGGTGGGTGGGTGGGTGGCTGGGTGTGGGTGTGTGTGTGTGTGTGAGAGAGAGAGAGAGAGAGAGAGAGAGCGAGCGAGCGAGCGAGCGAGCGAGCGAGCGAGCGAGCGAGCGAGAGAGAGAGAGAGATTCGGCGTGCCTGTGGTGCAAACCTGAACCGCCTCAAGCGTCAAATATGTACCAGCAAACAGACCTCCAAAAGCGCAACACGGACCTTGAGGTGGCCGACAAGAAACGCAAACATAAGCGCGAGTGCATGGAACTGCGTGGAGTTAAAAAAGCAATTCAGCGAGTAAAAGCAAGGAGTGAATGAGCGGCGTCGAGATGGCAAAGCTCGAAACATGAGAAGCGAATTCAGGTAAGATTCAAAAGAGCGGATGTCAACTTCGACCGCAAAACCGGCAAAGCCCGCGGTTGCGGGATTTCCCCGGAAGGCGCCGCCTCGCCCTCAAAGCCGAAGGCCAGCCGAGACTCCTCGGCGAAGCGCAAAGCGTGGGGAGTCCCGCCGCGGGCTTTTCTCTTGCAGCCCCCGGGCCGGGATGGAGTTCGGATAGCGCTCCAGCGCCGCGATGAAGTTCAAACCCAGGAAGAGCCGCTCCTCAGAGGCGCGAGACTTCGGAGCGCTTCGAGCGCTTCGAGGCCTATAGAGCCTCCAGTCAGAGGGAGGTTTTTTTAGGGCTGTGTGACAGCGAGTGTGCTCAGATTGGCTCTCGCCGCATCGACGCGCCTCGATGTAGACCACGGGGCTTCGGATCTCGGAGTCGCACGAGTCACACTCTCTGTAGTCACTGCGTTTTTGCCTCAGCTTCCTGCAGAACGGGTCAATCGGAGCGCGCCTGCGACTGCAAACGAGCCACATTCTCTCTC